AGCGGAGAAAACCGTGTGCAGATGGGCTTTGGTGTGGGGAATATGAGTGCGACGTCTAGTATGTTGAGGAAGACTGTGTGCAGCAGTGTATACTGTATATCTGAAAGTACAGGTGGAGTGTGATGGAGAGGATATGGAGTGCCAACTTCTTCGGCCATCTACAGATGTTGACCGTGTTTTCGCTGGCGGTTCTCCAGTGGTGCTCCAAACAGGAGGTATTTCGGACACCCAGCTCAGCTGCCTATAGACAATTTGGATGTGGCTGAGTACCTGTCAGCTCATGCTATAAGACCCTGGACAGAGGAACTGACCCGGAAAGGATGAACCAAGGAGCATATCAATTGTGTGCAAAAATGACAATCCCATTGCTGTACATAGAATTTCACCATTTCAACAGTGCTGCATATAATACCATTGTAGCAACACTTAGACATGTCGGATCAATCCAAAATTTTCAGACAGTGAACTTTAGGTGTGTTAGATCATTTTTGAACAAAAAACTGAAAATCGAATTTTTGGTCTGTGGTCATATTTTGGCGTGCTCTGGCTCATATTATGGAATAGATCGTGATAATGAAAATCATCTTTTTTGCACTGAAATTGGTAAGCATAACGTGTGTGCCTGAGGCGCGAAGATTAGGGATAAGTAGAAGAAGCAAGTGCAACACACTGCTGATACTGTAAAGACGTGAGAGTGATAACCAGTATGTAGTAACTGGCCTTTCTCCACCTGCTCCCAGTCCCGTGCCATCTCCACACTTGTACAAAGGGGACGACGATGACTACATTTAGAAGACTGTTTATTGACACGACGAAGAAACACAACTAGACAAGACGAACTCAAGACGAAGACTACTTTTTACACTACAGCAACACGCGCATGCGCAAACATGATTGTACACGCGACGTACACAAAATAACGTACTATACGGTAGAAAGTCCGTCTACTACACTGCTCCCCTCTCAAATAATTTTCCGTCCTCGGAAAACAAACAAGAACATAACACAAAAATTAATGTATACACTGCTGCCTCCTCAAAAGGCTGAATCGTTCCTGATTCAAAAAATAATAACAGAAGAAAAATAGATCACACTAGCCACGCGAGCATACCACACCAATCACCCAAAAATGTATCGCAGCAAAACACAGCAGCCAGAGACCATCTGCCATTCACGCAGGACCTGATAACACAAAACCCTCTCTGCCCACCAACCAGACCTTCAGCTCACGCGCTGGAACACAATTGTGGGAAATGCATACAACATCACACTCGCGCCACCTCACCAATCACGCAAACATTCTAAAATGTAAGAGGACAAAATAATAAGAAGAGCAAATAAGAAAATGACCCTCGTCCTCGAGGAGAGCAACTGATAAATAACCGAAAAAATTTGAGGAGAACAGCAAATACAAAACTCACGCCGTCTACCATGTCGTCCGCCATCTCAAGGAATGCTGCTCAGCGTCGACATTCTCACTTCTGGGCACAGTTTTACGTCGTGTCCGGGACCATCCATCCTTCTTTTTCTTTTCCTTTTCTTCTGGGCACAGTTTTACGTCGTGTCCGGGACCACCAGTGACGACGATTGACAAGAGACGGGCGAGACGAATGATGCAGGACGAAGACGACGGACGAACTTCTTGAAGACTGACGAAACTGTTACGATAGGACGACCGGAGATGACATCGGAAACTGGGAGCGAAGGCCACGCAGGACGAATCCAGAAGTTGATTTTGACAACAGTTTCCATCACCGCTGCCACCAATGTAGTAACTGGCCTTTCTCCACCTGCTCCCAGTCCCGTGCCATCTCCACACTTGTACAAAGGGGACGACGATGACTACATTTAGAAGACTGTTTATTGACACGACGAAGAAACACAACTAGACAAGACGAACTCAAGACGAAGACTACTTTTTACACTACAGCAACACGCGCATGCGCAAACATGATTGTACACGCGACGTACACAAAATAACGTACTATACGGTAGAAAGTCCGTCTACTACACAGTATTATAGTTTCTTTTTTAGTTCCTTTTTTTAGTTTAAAGCGCACTGTCCTAGGATGATGTGGGGTAACAATAAAGTGGGACAGAAGACTAGGACAAACAGACAAAAGGGGATAGGACATGTAAACGCAAGGTGCAGGTGAGGTGAGTCCACCTAGTCCGGCCAGGGGTCTCGGAGTCAGCACTGGATGCGCGCAGTCTGCCAATTCACAGCTCTCTACAACCTCCTCTCTACAATGTTCTCTGCTCTTTTCTTCTGTCTACGATTACCACCTCTTTTTGCACTGGAGTGTTGACGAAGCCGAGACCTCAGTAAGGCAGAGAAACTCCAGCTTCAACAACACAGCAGCGAATTCAACCACCTATTGGGGTTTATGATATTCCTTATTTTTTGAAAGCAGTATACTTGTGTTGAGTTTCAACTGGTGAGTCAATTAGCCCAGACACATCGCAACGGACAACGGGAACGAGCAGGGGGAAACATATATTATTGACGATGAGACGGAGACAAAGACAAACTACAACAACTGCATTATCAGAGAGTAAGCAAGAGAGAGAGAGAGAGAGAGAGAGAGAGAGACTGAGACAACAAGAGACTATGAAGGGCCTGGGTAGCTACCCACGCCAAAGGAACAAAAGGTGAGTATGGGGTTCATATGGATCATGCAGACCAGCTAGGGAAAAAGGTAGACTGTACGGAAGGAGGTACCTAACACTTGGGTACATGAATGCACTGTTTGCACTACTCTTTGGGGAGATCAGGGTGATGTGTGTGTGTGTTTTGTTTTTGTTTGATTTATTTGTATTCAAATCGCAAGTCGAACGTGCAATAATGCCCAATGCTATGCTGATGATGTGTTTTGTCTTCCTAAAGCTTTCTTCCTAAGTGTTTTGCAAAAGAATTCTTTTTAGGTATAATATAAATATTGAAGAATGGCTGATAGATATTAGATAGTGACACCACCCATTTCCACCAAAAGGGGAAGCGCAATCGTGCACCGCAGGTGTTAAGGCTACGGCTTAGCAAAGACGAATGTGTAGTATACTGTGATAAATTGTTAGCCAGGTGTGAATGTCATGCTTGACATGGATCCGCACTATCGATCTCCAGCTGACTATCATTTCCAGGGCATACACGCTTTTCCCCCATTTTTCTCCCCTCTTCGCCACCTTGTGATTGATAAGAAATTCCTGATTGGATTTTTCAAAGTAAACCCAAAAAAACAAATTCTAAAATGCTGAAATGACGTAGTAAGTAGCAATGCTACAGACTCCCACGGTGGTGTGTATTCTGTGCAACCATGCACCACACCGCACACCACCACCGTCACATCGCAGGCAGTCTTCAGTTGTCATGACACTGCAATAGCTTAGCATCGCAGTGGCAGTGTTGAAAGAGAGAAATCTCAGAGAGATGAAGAAACATTGAAACTGGGCAAATGACAAATTTAAAAAAAGATTCAGAATAACTGTAACTTTCACACATTGCAAAGGTGCAAACTTCGCTTTTTGTACTTGTTAGCTGCTGTATTTCTACCTGAAACCATATTAGCTACATGTATATAAGTGTGTGTTTTAGTTATTACATTTTTATGTGACGGCGTTCCACTGATGACAGTCACAAGATAACGTTATGGAACTTGACTTTCTTCATTTTTGCTGTTGTTATGAGTGCACAATTTATCTTATTTATTGCCATTTTAATAACTGTAACACTATAATTATTTTCAACTAAAATGGGCCACTCAGACGACATCTTTTGAGTGCTTCTTCTTGGTGATATTTGGCAAGCTGATAAGGCAAAGAAACGCGTTGAGATTCCAAATAAATGAAAATTGGATGCTACATTATGTAGCAGACTCAGCGGAGGTCATTCAGGTTGATTGTAACTGTGAGTTTCATGCTGCCAGGAAATCATCAATTGATACATGTACTGGGGTCTACCCAGCTGTGCAGGGATCTCACTTGCCTGTTGCCCGCCATCCTCCTGGCACTTCCACCTATCTGCTGTACACTGCCTCCACAAAGCCTCTGTCTGCGCTTTGAAGCTCACAAACGCCTGTTGCCCGCAAAACATAGAGTCACAGGCGTAAAGAATTTGAGCTGTAGGTGCAGGTTGGCACAAAGTCTGGTGGTGTAAGGTATTGGCAGAAAGCTAATGCAGGCCAAGGTGCTAGGAGAGACAACAGGCGTGTCAGGAGGGTGGTGAGCAGCAGGCGTTGGGGAGGCAGTGCACAGCAGAGGATCGGAGGTGCCAGTAAGATGGCGGGCAACAGGCAAGAGAGAACGCCAGGGGGTTTGGGAGCTGAAGACGTCAGGCGAAATTACTGGTCAGTCGGCGTCACGCATTTTTCACAAAAATTTGCGTTTCACCTGCTGGGAGAGTATGCGTGTACTCGAGTCTCATCCTGAGCACGTTTTTTCTTCTTTTTTTCAGCTCCAGTATAGCTGTATTTTTCATTGCAAAGCCGTCCTCGATTGTTGTGTTCGTTGTTCAAACAAAGTGGACATTCAATCATGAAGGCAGAGGACATAGGAGCCTGATTGGAGTTTCTCGTGGCATAGGACGGCCACACAGAGACACTTTGGGATTTTCTGAATATAAAATACCGTACGCACGATGCTGAGATCAATTTGTGCGATATCAAATTGTTTGTGATCTACCACATCGAGCAGAACGGGATCCAAACACAAGCTTCCCGACAGTTAGGCTGCCGACCTGACTGGACAAATGATCCCTGGCTTCACCAGACGCCAGACGTCGGACACCATGTCCTTTGCCGCGACGTCCATCTCCAAAAAGAACTCCATCTTCGTCGTGAAAAGGCTTGAAATACTCAATATTCAACCGAGATTCGCGGTCTCACCCTTTCTCAGATCGAATCATTTTTTGTTGTAGCAGTTGCAGGGCAGATCCCCGCCACTACTTCAACAGAAGATGGCTCCAAAGCATGCCTGGAACAAGCCATATCGAGGTTGCAAGCCACCCCTCTCAGCACTTTTTTTGAAGAAATTCGAAATTGCAATGGTGGAAGATATACTATGAAGAGAATTTCAAAAAGTATATTTCGCGGAGCGATCGCTCAACCTACGTCATTCAAACTTTGCAGGATGATTCAGACGTACATGCTAGGCATGGAACCACAGAAGATGATATCATAGCTGACACACAGAGTCACACACACAGCAGATTCGTGTGCACGGATACTAAATTAGTGGACGTCGTCATCTTCTTCCCGCTGATCTCAAATGTACGATGACGTGCTATTTCGCCTGACGGTGAAGGAAAGCCGTTGACTACAACATGGAGAGTGCGGGAGAAGAGATGCCATACAGTATCAGTTGTCTGATGACTTCCCGGCGGCATGAAACTCAGAGTTACAACCAAACTGAACATCCTCCATTGAGTCTGCACTGTTCTAAGTTCTGTCTCTTACATTGACTACTCTCTGTAGCTCGGGATAAATGGATTTAATAAGAAATAACTCAATGAGTCGCTCGCCTGTTTTCATTGGCTATTGTCTCTGGGAGTCGCTTCCCCAAAAACTGAAATCTATTTCTGCCTTTGTTCGTGATCTCTCGGACCATTTCCCGTAAACCTAATATTACAACTTGATTTGCAGCCCAATCTCTTCTTTTATTGTTGTTGTTCTGATTTGCACTTGTGTTTCTTTCTTTTTTTTCTTTCTTTTGTTGGCATGGCTGGCTGTAATCGCCCTCACCTCCTCCTTCATTGGCCTTGGCCATGAGTGTGTGCGTAATAATAATAATTTGAAAATTGGATGATATAGTCTTAGAGATGTTCGGATAACATATCTTCCAACTCACTGTTGCAGACAGGTTTCAGCTCTGTCAAAGTTGCATTCTCATTGCAAGTTGCTGCTGCTGCAGATCCATTAATACTATAACCAGTGTCACATGTGTAATTCACGTGTTGAAGGTGTGACAGAACTTTCTTGTCACCACGGCCATGGACGACAGTTGGCACAGTACAATTGACAACTGGAAATGAGATGACAATGAAAAATGTAGGGGACAGAGAACACAAGCAGAAGAATGTTAGAAGAAACAGCTCACCAGATTAAGCAAGAAATTCAAAAGGTTCGATGGGTATCGTATGTTTTTTTAAATTTCTATATTGAAAACCACAAACCTTCGGACATGTGAATGTGCAAATGATACACAGTGTACATATGTATATATAGAGAAGGCAGCACAGAAACGGCAGTGGTGGCGAGGCCTGGGCAGCTCGTCCGACCGTGGGTCTGGGAGTCAACACTGGGCCGACGCAACGGGGGGGGGGGGGGGGGGGAGGGGATGGTAGCTTAGGAGGTAAGGGATGGAGCCAGCGTGAACATAGTATGTAATGCATATGCAGACTTAATGTGTAAACCTTAACCCTTTGTGTACGGACTGTACAACTTTCGATCCCCTGGGATCGAAACTTTTCAAATTTTCAATCGATCGTAACTCAGTCATTTCTGGGTTATATCCGAAAACTAAAATATGTAAGTCAAAGAGAAAACTCCCAGCTGTCCATTGAAACAATCGCTGAAGCGCTCCGATGTGTGGTTCCAGAGCCAATAGTGTGGTGGACCTGTGTGGAGGAGAGGCACCATGGACATGATCTGCGCGTATAACTTATTAGTGAGCTATTTGCTCTACATGCAGTCGAGAGTCAGTCAAGCGTCAAGTAAGCCCATATGACTGTAAGAGTGAGTATGCGTGTGTGCGTGTATGTTCGTGTGTGCGTGTGTGCGTGTATGTGTGTGTGTGTGTGTGCGTGTGTGTGTGCGTATGTGTATGTGTGTGTATGTGTGTGTGTGTGTGTGTGTGTGTGTGTGTGTGTGTGTGTGTGTGTGTGTGTGTGTGCGTGTGTGTGTACGTGTGTGTGTGCGTGTGTGTGTGTGTATGTGTGTGAATCTGTGTTTGGGTGCCTTTTGCTTCAACCGATGTCAACTATCAGTGTCGGAGTTAGACAATGGCTTGTAAAATGTAAAGGCATCAGAAAGAATAATTCACTCGTCATGCGCAATTACACCACTATAGACTGAAATGGTGAGCCAAGGACTAATTTATAGAAAAGAAAAAGGACAAAGGAACTACAAGTTATGATTTAATGTCCACTAACGCCACCAGTTTCTAAACAATCCGCTCATGCGATAACATTGCAGGACACTGACCGACGGTACTCACCTTCTACAGTATTATATTTTATGTTTTCTTGCACTTACTGTTGCAAGTAGGCATTTGTAGATTTCCATCAGCACTGCAAGTTGCTGTTGCAGATCCATTCATTCTATAACCAGTATTACACGTGTAGTTCACACTTTGAAGATAGGACACCATTGTCTTGTCTGCATTGCCATTCATGAGTGTTGGCACTGTGCAATTTACAACTAGCAAAACAAGAACAAAGCAAACGGTTGGAAAATGAAGTGAAAACTACCCGCATTAACAGATAATGATGTATTGTACACAAGAAAGAGAGGGGTTCCAGAGATTATGTAAACATGCCACCGTTTTGGGACCAAAGCAAAAAATGCATTATCGCTTTTTAGGTGGTTGCTACACTGTATTTTTTCAATGTCGCTTTTGCTGGCCGTCCACAAGGCCATTGTGATGTCCATGTGGGAGTTTTGTTGTGCAATAGGGGTGTTTGGCAGTTTTCGCTCAAGGTAATGACTGGAAATCATGTGTTTGACAGAGGGGAACAACAAAAGTCTTGTTTGAACGATGCTACAACTGTTCTGAGATATCGTTGATGTGCAGTTGAAGTAAGCCTCCTGCTACGGGTGAAGGATATCATGGCAACATTTTTTTGTCACAAGGCGGTTGGGAGTGGTCGGGAAGAGGGGAGAGGCTGTCCACTGGGGAAATTCGGATTTTGTTTCGGTCAACAGGGCACGTTTTAGCTCTCTAAAGCCGCAAAGGAGGATTCCACTTATAAGAGAACCTCACTCCAGCTATGCTCTAAGCCAGAACTTTGCAACCTAGAGAGTGTATGTGGGCAGGTGTGTGTTCACCGTCATATTGCCAGGTGTGTCTTTGCCACCACATTTATCAACCACTCCAGCTAACTCCAAAAAAAACGAAAGGCCAACTAATACTGCTCATGGATAGCACCAGTATCAATTGCATCTCTCATGTACCGGGTAGGTCATTCATACATGTTTTGTACACGGTATACTATAATGCCTTTGGGTCATTTCATAATAATAATAATAATTATTATTATTATTATGTCAGTCTTGAACATGATTGTACATGCAGCTTTTTTCGGTACCTTTGAAAAGCGTAAAAGAGCAGCTTGACCAGAGCGAGGAGAGCTGAGTGTGAAGCAGGAAATACTACTACCGATGCTTTAACGCTCCTTGGTGTGATATCCATGATATTTTATTGCTCTTCATGCACTGAGACAACCCTTGTGAGGTTGTTAGGTTCAGTGTACGAGCACAAACCAATTTCCGTCCGATTTGTCTGTTATACCCTGATTGGTCAGAAATATGCGCAATCGGTGCATATCTTTCGCATTTCACCTATGGCTTTCATACACTACTGCATGATGTACCAAAATCCGTGCATACATGGGTTCAGTGATTCATACGGAGTCAGGGAAACATAACTAAGTCTTGCATATGAGCCGCACCATGACAAAAGGGTGCTTATGGCAAAAATTTCACAAACTGAGTTATGGACACAGCGCAAGGGCTGAATTCTCACTGCTTCTGTTGCAAAAAAAACGCATTCAAAAAGCTTGACATAACCACCCTTTTGTCGTTTCGCGGCTCATATACAAAACGTATCTAGATTTCATGCCATGGTCCCATCTTTGACTACAATACCCTATTGTATACAGTAGATGCCTGGTACATCATAATGATGTAATGCTCCACTGTAGAATTGTTATCTTTACCCTACGGTAGACCAGTAATTGTACCGAACTTTTAACGATTTAACGTATGTAAAAAAACCTTAATAAGGCAATAAGCAGAATCAGCGAAGCGGACATTGGACGTAGTCATGAACAAAAATAAAGGATGGATAAAAAATGGGATAAAAAGTTTCCGAACACGTTTTATAGAGACATTCATCAGGGAAAATACGTCTCAATACTGAAATCTATGTACCGCTCTATCGATTATCAGATAGTGTTAGAGCCCTGCGGCCTAGACGAGGCCGAGCAACTAAGCCCTTGAAGGAGACTGACATCCGACAAATGACTCGACGCCAACTTTTACCTGAGGAGACTACACGATTAACAGACAGCCCAGATGCTGACGAACCCGAAACACATCGACCAATAACACGCAGCATGACTCGATCAACACGAATGAATTACACCAATGGACATGGACCTGAAGCAGCAACGGACCTGACAACAATATTGACGGAGGATGAGGATCGGCGGGACCACAGACGATGAAGGTACTGGCAGTGATGGAGAGCAGGACGAGGATGTTGAGGCCAACAGTGGACAGATGCAAGAAGAGGGTGATGATACTGGAAAGAGATCCGCAATAAAGAAACACCTGTTGGTCAACAGTCAGTGCCGTTCAGTTTATGTTGACTCTTGTTTCACAATTTTGTGCCGTGCTCGTAGGTTTAGTGAACTTAAAGTATTGGAAACTGTTTTCGTTCGCAAATATAACCCCAACCTATGCATCCTGAAAGAAAATGTCACTAAACTTAGACTATTCTCTTAGCATTCACACACACGCACATACACCCACCCACATACCCATGAGCGCACTCCTTACACTTCACCCTCTCTGAGTCTCACATTGTTATATTTCTCACCTCCCCACCTCTGTTATTAGTTTCCACTTCACCTTCTTTTTCTCCTATGTTCTTTCACATACTGCATTTCGTACTCTTCCACGTATATATCATTGTTCATTCCTAGATTTCAGTATTGAGACGTATTTTCCCTGATGAATGTCTCTAGAAAACATTTTATCCATCTTTTATTTTTGTTCATAACTACGTCCAACGTCCGCTTCGCTGATTCTGCTTATTGCCTTATTAAAGTTATTGTCTCCGCGCCGCTTATTCGTAAAAAAAATTGTAACATTTGAAGTCGTTATGTACTAAACGATTGTACATGTGCTGTTTTTTGCCAGTTTTGAGGCAACATTCATTAGAAATTCACCGCGCTCACCCACAAAAATCCGAAGATTGTTAAATTAAAAAATGTAAAAGAGAGAAGAAACACATGAGAAGGAGTTATGCAGCAACTATCCACGACTGTAACTCGTTCTCATGTGTTTCTTCTCTTTTTTCACATTTTATTACTGGCTCAGTATCCGAGTTTAAATCGTTAAATTTAAGTGACGTTAAAATATCTGATCTTACAGTATATCCGCAACTTGAAACACAATAACAGTCCTCCCGAACACAGCGTACAATGACAGTCCTCCCGAACACAGCGTACAATGACGGTTTACAAATTCTAACCCAGGGAGAACACAGATCTTTGGAAAAATGCAATGAGTTTTATTTCAGGAGTGAAACCAACTCACTGTTGCAGGTAGGCTTTTGCTCCGTCAAAGTTCCAGTTGCCCTGCAAGTTGCTGCTTCAGATCCATTTACACTGTAACCCGTGTCACATGTGTAATTCACTTGTTGAAGGTATGACAGAACTTTCTTGTCACCACGGCCATGGGCGACAGTTGGCACTGTGCAATTGACAACTAGAAATGAGATGACAGAGAGAAAAAGAGCAAGGAACAGAGAAAACAAGCATAATAACTTTATAAGAGACAGCTCGCAAGATTAAGCAAGATAAAATACGTAGCTAAAACTACCAGAATCCAATGGCGTGACAGGAAGGCACACACGGAGCGCCTCCATATGCCTCTTCGCTACGCTACCAGCCCTGAGACATCATGTGAGTAATCCCTGCCCTCGCAGATACTCGAGTGAAGCCGCCACGAAGCGACACTTACTGAACCACAGCCCAACATGACAAGAAAGAAGAACTGCTCCATGGCAACAAATACGCGACAACTGCAACTGTATCGCAATATGGCAGACGGTTCTCGTGTACCAAGCATCTAGCAGAATATTTCCCCAAGTGATTTTAGTGCATAACTTTATTCAAGATCACTTGTTGGTGCTTGGGGATATGTTGCAGCAGACTAAGATGGTGGTTTACACCAAATATTAGGATGCAACATCGCTGCCACTGGTCCTTGAACATGTCCTTCATGATGGCTGCCTTTGGACAGGTTGAATTGATTGATTCGTTTGAGCGACTCAACAAGTTGCCAGTCGATAGTTGGATGGCTAAACATTACTAGGTAGTTTGGATTGGTGTGCCAACATAGTTGGTTTGGCAGCTCTTTGTTGTTGTGAACAGCAACGACACCTCATTCTTGTACCTTGCTTCAGTGCGTATTTTAGTCGTTTTTTTCCCATATCAAAGCGATTAGGTCTCTGGAGCAAAACCATCATAGCGGGCGGACAATATCCACTCAGGGGTAGAAGGACCAAACTTTGAGTGAAATGGGAAATTTTGCCATGTCCCATGTTAGTAAACTGATATCACGCCATTAGGTGTTGGTTACCTCGCTGCGTACTCTCCGCTTCTCTCCGGTACTTTCCATACCTCCACCCACCTGATACCAAAAAGGAGCCTCTGTATCACCAAGAATATAGTTAGTTCTGTGTCACCCAGAATATAGTTGGTTCTGTATCACCAAGAATATAGTTAGTTCTGTGTCACCCAGAATATAGTTGGTTCTGTGTCACCAAGAATATAGTTAGATCTGTAAATGTAGAGGGGACAGTAGGAACAATTCTCAGATTATGCTTAAAACTACGTCATGGTTTACATTGTTTGCACTTACCGTTGCAAGTAGGTATTTGTAGAGTTCCATCAGCACTGCACATTGCTGTTGCAGATCCATTCATTCTATAACCAGTATTACACGTGTAATTCACACTCTGAAGATAGGACACCATTGTCTTGTCTGCATTGCCATTCATGAGTGTTGGCACTGTGCAATTTACAACTAGCAAAACAAGAACAAAGAAAGACATTGTAAAATGCATGTTGACATTGCTCGTCCTGTCACATACTGGTCGCAAGAGTCAATTGTTAATAAGAAGTATCTCGCATACTACGTACTTTTCCCACTCCCCGAGGTGCTACGTCTTATCCGAGTTCCACTGTACGAGGTCCAACTTCCAACTTCCAACTTGGTTGGTTCACTATTACGACAGTCTGGATAGTTGCTTCATACCTCTCATAAGTATGGTTATTATGGTTTTTCTTCTATTTTACAATTCTTATTGGCTCAGTGTCCGAGATAAATTTGTAGGCTTTGTATTCGTATTTAGTTTTCAGGTATTCTCTACAGGCCGTCGCATATATCAAGGGAATCTCCGTCAACAGCAGAAGAAGAAGCTTAGGGGAAAAATAAAATAAATAATATAGGGATAAAAATAGGGGGGGGGGAGCAGCAAATTGACACAGTGCTTTATGACGTTACTACTCTACTAGGAATGAACCCAGGGGCTGATGACGGGTGATAGCAAAGTGTGTGCGGACAAGATAGATACAACGTATTGGACTGGATACAGTACGAATGGCAGCCGGAAGGGAGTTCCATGCGGCAGTGGTGACAAAGAGGTAGGTGGCACGGGTGTGGGTGCGGGCGTCATGAGTACAAATACTTGAAAGAGCAATCATCTAACAACTTACTGTTGCACACAGGCTTCAGCTCTGTCAAATTTCCATTCTCACTGCAAGTTGCTCCTTCAGATCCATTTATACTATAACCAGTGTCACATTTGTAATTCACTTGTTGAAGGTATGACACAACTTTCTTGTCACCACGGCCATGGGTGACAGTTGGTACAGTACAATTGACAACTAGAAACGAGATCCCAAACCAAAACAGCAGAAGAACGTAACAATAAACAACCTGCCGGATTTTAATAGCTTTTTCATTTGCGTTGATTTCTGACTCCTAGAAATTATTTTACTTTTAAGGAACGAAACCGTCCTGCCACATAATGGACTTGTTAGCACAGAACAGAAATACTTGGTCCGACTTATTGAAATGTGCGCTTCGTTTCTGAAGCCTACCAAACAAATTCAAAATAATAATCTTAGGACGGGATAAACTTTCAGCTACCTAACAATGTCCTTCAGTTGTTGATTCGTGATATCGAGGAAAGAATGGCTCAAACTCAAAAAGGAGGCAGCGCGTCAAACTCCTAGGCGACTCGTGTATTTGCGTTCACATTTTGTCGTCAAAGGACTCCTGTTGCTTCATGCCCATTACTGAGAAGGCCTGGTGCTGATATCAAGATCCCAATGCAATGGAGAATTGTCACAGAGAACCTAAAACTCCTGGGCGATCGTTCTTGATTCCCTCCTGGCGAATTGAAATCGCTGCAGTTGCTGTTTGCTGGGTACAATTTCAGCACGCGCATCATCCAGAAACTCGTGCAGCAGCATGAGCATCGCGTCGTCCAGTATACTGACATGATGTCTCTCGCAGTCGTCCATGTTGTGGCGGCTGACGAATCAGGATCGCAGAAGAGATCGCCGAGAAGCTGATCGAAATAAACAACCACCCCTGGAGTCGCCTCTTACGCGAGAAGCTGGCTGGATAACTGAAACGAACAAAGAGCGGATACAGTGCGTGGATGGTGCGGAGTTCTCGGAGGCACAAGGCGTCATCGTTACATCAAGCCTATGCGATCGAAAGTTCCGTCTCGTCTCCAGCGACAGTGCACTTGTAGTGCAGTACTAGTAGCTCGTAGATTCGTAAAACAGGGGTGAGCGTGCACAGTTGGACTGTATCACACAGACTGTCAGTATGTGGAAAACGGTGATGAGGAATGATTTTTTTGGTGCGTGGTGGTCTACCTGTTCGCCTCTTTTGCAGGTATCACGGGAACGTCGGGCGAGAACTCCTACAGCTACCATTCTGGCAGTTGCACTGCACGAGCAAGAGGCGAAGGCGATCATCAAAATCGGTCCTATTGTTTGAAAAAGTCAAGGAAGCGCAGTGAAGCTTGAAGGAGACGAAAAAAACTGTGGATGTTTAGCAGGGTGAAGCACTTGCAGATGCGTCCAGAGACACCAGCAGCGTTGAAAACTAGAAGGTCAGTCCAAAAGACGATACAGTAGTTATCTATCTAACATCTCTTGGTAGAAATTTTAGCTCTCGTGCTCGAAATATGTACGAATCCTTGAGTTTTGAAGTGAAGCGCACATTTTAATAGGAATAAAGAGAACCTGGTAGAAATGAAAAACGAAATTTCCAAAGCCAGACCCGAACTCAAAACATAAACACCGTTTTAGCAGTTGGACACGTATCATGTTGATCAGCAGGCACGCATTGAAAGCAATCCATGCATTCAGAGAGTGGCGTGTCAGTTATCCGAAAACCTGGGAACCGGACCGGTGGCTACACCCCCTGGGGTTTGAAGGAATAATCCTCCCATCATGCAGAGCTCAACTTCATACTTCATCGCAGTCAGGCACTTACTGTTACAAGTAGGCATTTGTAGAGTTCCATCAGCACTGCACATTGCTGTTGCTGAACCATTCATTCTATAACCAGTATTACACGTGTAGTTCACACTCTGAAGATAGGACACAATTGTCCCATCCGCAATGCCATTCATGAGTGTTGGCACAGTGCACATAACAACTAGCAGGAAGCAAAAACAACAAAAACGACTTCGTAGCAGTGAAAACGCTTCATGCAGCTACATTCATAGGAAGTGCTTTAAGTTAGAGCAGATTCAGTCTTTGCCATTCTCTCTGCAACAATATGGAATTCATCAAGTCTTTTTACGTCAGAAAGACTTTGGAATAGAATGAAGTTTTAAACTGTCAATCCTGATACAAAAATGATATTTGTAAATATTCGGGAAGAAGAAGAAAAACCCGTAGTACAGATCCCAATCTGCTTCACCGGTACTCCACGGTGGAGATTGATTTCTGGTAAGTACCACCACTTCAATCGTATCTCAACTGATGCATTAGGATTGCTGATCAGCGTACTTGCACTCATCATCTCGTGTGCGTATGTGTGTGTGCATAAGTGAGAAAGTGTGCGTTTCAGTGCTCATGTGTGTGTGTGTGTGTGTGTGTGTGTGTGTGTGTGTGTGTGTGTGTGTGTGTGTGTGTGCGTGTGTGTGCTTGTGTGTGCATGCATTCTCATGCATACCTGTGTAAGTGCATGTGTGCATCTGTTTGTAATCTAAGCATGTGCCTGACTATCTTCCTGCTGTGCAAATTATAAAACATGGCATACCTGTGCAGTTTGGAAGATTTGTCCACATTCCATTTTCCTGACATGTTATTGTGTGAATGCTGCGTGTACTACTAGCCATAGTCAAGCCAACACGACACGAAATGCCAAGAACAGTTCCAGGGTCATTGGAAAGCGTATCATTGTATTCGTAACCACGGGATGCGTTGAGCTGGGGACATGGAGCTGAAAAGACAAGAGTGGTTTTTTTTTAATTTCAAAAAAGACTGGAATAGAGATCGCCAGAAATGCAAATGCCAGAAATGCTGCCGAATACCGTGTATTGTTTGATCAAATCCAACTAAGCGAGTCAATGTTGTGTTGAGTGCTTTTGAGGTCAGTACCGTCAGTACCGTCTGTCATTGTCATGCAATGTTATCGCATGTGCTGATTGTTTAGTAACTGGTGGTGTTAGTGGACATTATAGCCTAACTTTTAGTTCTTTGGTCCTTTCTCCTTTGTAAAGAGGATTTGTTCAAAACTGTTTTCTTTTTTCATTCATCAGTGAATCTACGTGACAATGGAATTGGGACTACTTGAAACTAAACTTATATGGATAAATAGTAGTGAAAGAAAGGGCAAAAGAGCGAACCGAGAAGGTGATTATACCTCATGTATTCAGCGGGGGACAATTTCCACAGGTGACAGTATGCGTGTGTGAATCGTCAGCATCAGCAAAACTAAGCAAATCTGAACAGATGCAAGGAAGTACGGAAGGAAATGTGAACGGAATTTCTTGTAGTTTCCATTCCATTATTATCCCTTTTACCGCTAATGAGGTATAATATATACCTCATTGAGAAAGACCCATCCAATAATGACGTATATACACGTCATCGTATAAAAAAATCATTTTCTGGACTTCCCCTTTTGTGTGTGGTCATTCCTGGCTATTTGTTATAGTCCCTGCGTCCCGTGCGAAAGGTAGTGGGTACAAATCCAGCTTTGATACATGAAATGTCTTCCTTTTCTTCTTTTTCACGCAAAATGTTTCAGCTAAAATTGCCGATTTTGCCCTATTTTTCGCAATTCCGGCAAATTTGCGGGACATATCACGCATTGCTTCTTCTTTTGGGTGCTATATCAAGTTAGTCAATGTGATATCAGTAGTCTCGGCTTCTCAAAATTTCAAAAGCCCACTTGCCAGGGCAGTAAAGTTGTGGAACTGGCCATTTGCCTTAATTTTAGCATTTTGTCCAGTGGCTGAATGGCACATCCATGTTGCGGGACAGGGTTAAGTAGATACACTGACGAATGTAACAAGAAAACAGTTCTGATCAAATTGTCATTGTCACGGTGCTTTGCGATCATCGCGAGTATAACATTCTCCACATACACGTCGACATAATGAAATGCCTAGAGTACAATTATACCTCCTTGTACTTCCTCCGTACACAAAAACTTCGTGACTTTTTTTGAAAGCTGCGCACAGCTTTGGAATTGTTCCGTTTGACTCGGAATAACACTCGTGGCATTGTCTAACCGTTTTACAAGCTATAATACAAAGAAAAAGCAACTCAGACGAATGAGATTGAGTTTTTTCAGAGTCTTCGTCGCTCATGTCATTGTCACCTGACGACGTCGACGCTGACTCCGCATCGCCAACAGTCGCTGCTTCCGCTCGCATTTCGTTCAGATTCTTGTCATCTGCAGAGATGATCCGACGCTGGACTTTGGCTACGTCCTCTTCATCTCTAGAGCTGTGTACGAATCAGTGTCGACTATATTCAGTCGTTCCAACGACCTCCATTATGCCCGTGAAAGAGAGTCGTATAAGCACATCCACACGCTTCGCATTTTTTCGCATTTTCTCGCCAGGATAATCCTCCCAAGCATTCTACAATGGCTTCGAGGAGGTCCCTGCAATTCCCCTTGGCAACAAAGGAGACGCCTGACTGGAGAGAGGCGAAGAAAGCCAGGCCATCAACATTCTGATCCTGAGTCTGCGCTGGTTGCACTATGACTGAAATGTTTCATCTTGGCGTGCGAGCGAAACAAATCATGTTCTCACGCTGCGTAGATCTATGGGCCCGCGCACCGCAAGTACGAGCCTGGCCACGAGTGACGCGTGACTCCGTGTTCTAGCCACGAGCTACACTTCGTCACTGTGTCAGTTTCGAGCAAGTAAGTGTTAGTTTTTTTCATTTGACTCTTTAGTTTCTGGCGGCAACGTCCTCACATGCATGGCGTCCGTGGAGAATCTGTTCGGGATCAACCAAACTAACCTCGACATGGACGTGGGTTGTCGATGACAGCCTTTGGCGCCGTTCGTTGAGCAGGTTCTTGCTCAAAACACCGTTCAAAAAAGTCACGAAGTTTTTGTATACGGAGGAAGTAGCTATATTAAAACTGCTGTCTCTGAAACGCTTTTTTAAAAATTTATAGAAAAAAGGAAAATCAAAAGACCAAGGAACTTCAAGTTACGCTATAATGTCCACTAACACCACCAGTTACTAAGCAATCAGCTCATGCGATAACATTGCACGATACTGACCGATCGTAATGACATTCTACAACTAACTGGCTAACAGGTCTAGCACATCTTGCATGCGCACTCCAACAGCCTTCCAGCTTGGAGGGTTCTAAGTTATAGAAACAACACAGGGAGGGGAAGGTGAGCGCAACCAAGATACGCCCGAGCTGAAAGTCTCAGCTGTGAATAACGTTGGCGGTTGTTCATGCATGTCGATGACAATACTGGCCAGACCATTGGATGATACGGTCAAACAACGATTCACGCGAAACGAACGTCGTGTGAAACTGGTGCTTGTTACCAGTGTGTATTGTCTATCTTAATTGTCATAGTCGAAGTACAGTGCTGTTTTACTGAAGCGTTCGGTTTTTCATGATTCTTGTTTGCATAATTTCCCCTTTCGTTGATCTTCGCATCTTTTGAGCCACACAAGTTGTGTGGAATGTAGCTTTGCGTTCTTCTGCGGTGGTATCTGAATTATGGCAGTATAAAAAGGTGCTCCGGTTGGGAGCAAGGGAAAATCCCTTCTCAGTGCCGCGATGAAAGCTGCAAAACGTACGTAATGGTAACGTTAGTTTATCGGTAGTGCGAATTCCCCTCACAGTTTAGCGCCATTCGCGGTGTGACGGGGTTCACTGCAATCTGACCGGGAAAATTTGAGGAAATCAAAATGTCACCTTAGTGTGATCAAATGGTCTAGGTAATCCTCAAGGGAACATTTCATATACAAAATCTGACCAGAACCATTCAAAATAGGATCCCAGATGAGGAGTTGAGATGCAAAACCCCATTTACGTAAAATTTGATAAATTGTGATTTTCTGCTCAGTGTCATCGAAAGATCGAGAGGCACCACCAGGCATAATTTCACATTCAAAATCCGACTAGAACCATTTCAATAGGGGACCCCAGATAGGCATTCAGATACGAACCGCACATGAACAATCCCCTTTCGGGGGAAGGGATGAAATGGATTTATCGGGCTATGCATTGCAGCTCTTCAATTGCACCTACAGATTTATTGCTTAAAATTGCAATGGACTAGACTCGGATGGACTTACTTGGTCCGCGTCAGCAATATTGTCGCTTATCTTTCGACAATTTGAACTTAGCCTTTGGACATGATCGCGTGCACTTGAAGTGATAAAACTTGGTACGATGGACGGTAAGGTATAGAATGACAACTAGCTGTGAGGAATTTATTGTCCAAGGAAGGGTTCCTACTTTTTTCGGTCCTCCTCGTCGCTGCTCTCGGCGCTGGTGACAATTTTTTTTCTCGGGATCGACTCTCTTGCTTTTGCAAGCTCATCTCTCTTCCTTTCCACTGCCTGGCTATTTTCTAAAGAGAAGTCGATCGTGACGGTCGCCTTCTCTATAGGACTTCGCGTGGGCGGCACGACAGCCTGTGTGGTTCGAATCAGACGTCGTACTTTGCAAGATTTTATTTTGAACGACGACGACGACGCGTACAGTACTAGCAAATCTCCACGACGCTCTGGATACTCCGAGCGTTGAGCTGGAGGTAAGGGAGCTGCGATCTCAGCTTGACGAGGAATCCCTGAGGTGAGCGATCTCGGCCGTTCAGCAAAATGGAGCTGATTCCGAGTAACGGATTACTTTCATGTGGCTTGCGCTGCTCTTGCCTGCACAGCGTAACAAGATAATCTATTTTGTTGCGGCGCTGTATCAATCAGAATCACTCACCCGTCGCTCTCGAAATCCACTCGAACTCTAGCTAGACCTTTCAAGTACTAGTAACCTAACTTGCTAACCAAAATTGGGATGAAACGGGCTGCCAAGTAAGCATTGGCGACAGATAAACAAAACTGAAAGATAAGCGACAATATCGCTGACGCGGACCAAGTATAGTGTTGGAGAAATTATGGATAACATGTGACATCATACTACTGTCAACTTCGCTAATAACGACTACGGATATAACAACAATTCGCGAATAACGGCAGAATTTCCATGCCCAGAGCAAAGTTCATTCTAACGGTATACATATGTTGAACGCCATACACTGAGGCTTACAACACATACACTGAGGCTTACAACACATACAATAAGGCTTCGGGTATAACGACACTTGGCGAATAAGAACACTTTTCTGATGCCCCGCCGAGTGCCGTTATACACAAAGTTGACTCTACTTTCTTTTAAATGTAACAGACTGTGGATTATGTATGCCTAAGAACATTACCTCGCAGGCTGATGGTGTACGTTGTTGACAAAGGTGCAACTGCTTTATCACATCGGTCCAGTACACCTTTCGGGGGCTGTGGCTGTCGACCTCCTTCTACAAACCTACATTTGTAACTGGTCGGGTAGGTAGTAGTGCAGGTCAAGTTGAACATAGCGCCAACTGGGTGGGCCCTGTTAAACATGATACCCGAATCTTTCCCGGTGAAACTGAAAGTGGAATTGACATACTCCAACAGTCCATTTGGAGATGCTCCATTCGTTGTGTTTATTGTCTTTGTTGTAAGACTTATAGTGGATGTCCAAGTGACACTCATGCCTGGTGAGCCCAAAGTATTACAAGGAATTTCATATTGCTTGTCAGTGTAACTGAAAACCATTGTGGGAGAGATGACAGTGGTTCGGTGTTGTTTCGCTGCACGTTTGGAAAACGAAAAAAATGTCAATGCAAACAAACAACATTTTTTTTTAAATTCGCCCGGGTCCCTAGTCAAAATGTTGACCAAATCGGCCGCGCAAGAAAAAAATTGAGAGCTTGCGTGAGCATGCAGAACTAAAATTGCAGTACGAGTACTGTCATGGCACGACGATGCGGACGATGCCATCGGCATGATTCTGAATTGGAGCTCTGACGAAGACAGTTCTGGCGACCCACTTGACGAGTCTGATGTTGATAGTGATGATGATATCCCAGAAATTCAAGAAAACAATTTATCTGATGGATTTGCTGATACTGCTAGTAGCGAGAGCGGCAGCGAGAATGATGTTGGACAGCTTATCCAATCTACTTTCCGAAAATGTATGGTGTTGTAGTGGCTAATGTACACCGATTTCGAGTTATTACTGATAGTTGAACAAGCGGTCACGTGCTCCTGCGTACATCAGTCACCCAGTCACCGTGCCTGCAGGGTACAACTTACTAGCCTGTTTGACTTTTTTGGTTGCAGTCCTGTCACTCGAGTTGAACTCGACTTGAACCTTGGTGTGAAAGTTGTCGCCTGCTGGCGTGGTGACCAGGTGATTTGGGCACCCAGGAGAAAGTGACCGCTTGTTCAACCATGTTCGATTTGGGAATAAAGGAGGCACGCTGCATCGCAGCCTTTTCAGTCCAAAACCAGTCGACTCAGCGTCCAAAAGACTACAACATATGGGCCGATCGCGGTCATCCGTGCTTTTATAAGAACGAAATGGCGCTTTTAGTGACATTTTGCATACAAATCACCATCTAGTAGGGCGCAGTCACCCAGTTTCGGTGGAAGTGCGCGAGTTCGATTGGGATTCAAGTAGGAAGGGAGCGTCTCAGCTTTCTCGGACCAAGACCATTCGACTCAGCACCCCGAAGACTACAACTGGTGAAATATTGATTTTAGCCTTAACTTCCCCTTTAAGACAGTACTCTTGGGAGAGCAGCCGGAGGACCTAACCAACAACCGACTGTCCACCCCCTCCAGGCCGCCACTGATGCCGTTCTGTAGTCGGCTCGTTCAGTCGGAGGGTGCTTCAACCCCTCGAAGTCTTGCACCATGCAGTTCTCTCCTAGAAGTCGAGCAGAACATGCCCATCCTACCCACCCGACACATACTACTGACCCCGCACCCGGGTATGCAGGAATATGACGTGTCTGATGTCACGACCCACCAAAACATTGGAGTCATCTTGGACTCTAACCTCGACTTCACCAGCCACATCGCCAACGCAAACAGACGACTGAACAAATAATGCCAATGCATGCAAACACACGTATGCAAACACAGACCCATGCAGGCATGCAAGAACAGACATGCAGAAAAAAACACGCGCACACACAAAACTGTCAACGCACATAAGCATACAAGCATGCAGATACAAACACCAGCAAACTCGTGCACGCACACTCTTTGATGTCCTCAAACGTGGACATAAATTACGCCAACTTGGAGGTAATTACTCAAACCGAGCTAGTAACTGTGTACTGGGAAAACTGGGGAGTGCTACAGTCCGCTCATTAAAAACTTGGACCCTAACTTTTTTTGCTGTCTCTCGCATATAGTTGT